TAGTTAGTTAGTTAGTTAGTTAGTTAGTTAGTTAGTTAGTTAGTAGTTAGTTAGTTAGTTAGTTAGTTAGTTAGTAGTTAGTTAGTTAGTAGTTAGTAGTTAGTAGTTAGTTAGTAGTTAGTTAGTTAGTTAGTTAGTTAGTTAGGTTAGTTAGTTAGTTAGTTAGTTAGTTAGTTAGTTAGTTAGTTAGTTAGTTAGTAGTTAGTTAGTTAGTTAGTTAGTTAGTTAGTTAGTTAGTTAGTAGTTAGTTAGTTAGTTAGTTAGTTAGTTGTTAGTTAGTTAGTTAGTTAGTTAGTTAGTTAGTTAGTAGTTAGTTAGTTAGTTAGTATTAGTTAGTTAGTTAGTTAGTTAGTTAGTTAGTTAGTTAGTTAGTTAGTTAGTTAGTTAGTTAGTTAGTTAGTTAGTTAGTTAGTTAGTTAGTTAGTTAGTTAGTAGTTAGTTAGTTAGTTAGTTAGTAGTTAGTTAGTTAGTTAGTTAGTTAGTTAGTTAGTTAGTTAGTTAGTTAGTTAGTTAGTTAGTTAGTTAGTTAGTTAGTTAGTAGTTAGTAGTTAGTTAGTTAGTTAGTTAGTTAGTTAGTTAGTTAGTAGTTAGTTAGTTAGTTAGTTAGTAGTTAGTTAGTTAGTTAGTTAGTAGTTAGTTAGTTAGTTAGTTAGTTAGTTAGTTAGTTAGTTAGTTAGTAGTTAGTTAGTTAGTTAGTTAGTTAGTTAGTTAGTTAGTTAGTAGTTAGTTAGTTAGTTAGTAGTTAGTTAGTTAGTTAGTTAGTTAGTTAGTTAGTTAGTTAGTTAGTTAGTTAGTTAGTTAGTTAGTTAGTTAGTTAGTTAGTAGTTAGTTAGTTAGTAGTTAGTTAGTTAGTTAGTTAGTTAGTTAGTTAGTTAGTTAGTTAGTTAGTAGTTAGTTAGTTAGTTAGTTAGTTAGTTAGTAGTTAGTTAGTTAGTTAGTTAGTTAGTAGTTAGTTAGTTAGTTAGTTAGTTAGTTAGTTAGTTAGTTAGTTAGTTAGTTAGTTAGTTAGTTAGTTAGTTAGTTAGTTAGTTAGTTAGTTAGTTAGTTAGTTAGTAGTAGTTAGTTAGTTAGTTAGTTAGTTAGTTAGTAGTTAGTTAGTTAGTTAGTTAGTTAGTTAGTTAGTTAGTTAGTTAGTTAGTTAGTTAGTTAGTTAGTAGTTAGTTAGTTAGTTAGTTAGTTAGTAGTTAGTTAGTTAGTTAGTAGTTAGTAGTTAGTTAGTTAGTTAGTTAGTAGTTAGTTAGTTAGTTAGTTAGTTAGTTAGTTAGTTAGTTAGTTAGTTAGTTAGTTAGTTAGTTAGTTAGTTAGTTAGTTAGTCGTTAGTTAGTTAGTTAGTTAGTTAGTTAGTTAGTTAGTTAGTTAGTTAGTTAGTTAGTTAGTTAGTTAGTTAGTTAGTTAGTTAGTTAGTAGTTAGTTAGTTAGTTAGTTAGTTAGTTAGTTAGTTAGTTAGTTAGTAGTTAGTTAGTTAGTTAGTAGTTAGTTAGTTAGTTAGTTAGTTAGTTAGTTAGTTAGTTAGTTAGTTAGTTAGTTAGTTAGTTAGTTAGTTAGTTAGTTAGTTAGTTAGTTAGTTAGTTAGTTAGTTAGTTAGTTAGTTAGTTAGTTAGTTAGTTAGTTAGTTAGTTTAGTTAGTTAGTTAGTAGTTAGTTAGTTAGTTAGTTAGTTAGTTAGTTAGTTAGTTAGTTAGTTAGTTAGTTAGTTAGTTAGTTAGTTAGTTAGTTAGTTAGTTAGTTAGTTAGTTAGTTAGTTAGTTAGTTGTTAGTTAGTTAGTTAGTAGTTAGTTAGTTAGTTAGTAGTAAGGTTAGTTAGTTAGTTAGTTAGTTAGTTAAGTTAGTTAGTTAGTTAGTTAGTTAGTTAGTTAGTTAGTTAGTTAGTTAGTTAGTTAGTTAGTTAGTTAGTTAGTTAGTTAGTTAGTTAGTTAGTTAGTTAGTTAGTTAGTTAGTTAGTTAGTTAGTTAGTTAGTTAGTTAGTTAGTTAGTTAGTTAGTTAGTTAGTAGTTAGTTAGTTAGTTAGTTAGTTAGTTAGTTAGTTAGTTTAGTTCGTTAGTTAGTTAGTTAGTTAGTTAGTTAGTAGTTAGTAGTAGTTAGTTAGTTAGTTAGTAGTAGTTAGTAGTTAGTTAGTTAGTTAGTTAGTTAGTTAGTTAGTTAGTTAGTTAGTTAGTTAGTTAGTTAGTTAGTTAGTTAGTTAGTTAGTTAGTAGTTAGTTAGTTAGTTAGTTAGTTAGTAGTTAGTTAGTTAGTTAGTTAGTTAGTTAGTAGTTAGTTAGTTAGTTAGTTAGTTAGTTAGTTAGTTAGTTAGTTAGTTAGTTAGTTAGTTAGTTAGTAGTTAGTTAGTAGTTAGTTAGTTAGTTACGTTAGTTAGTTAGTTAGTTAGTTAGTTAGTTAGTTAGTTAGTTAGTTAGTTAGTTAGTTAGTTAGTTAGTTAGTAGTTAGTTAGTTAGTAGTTAGTTAGTTAGTTAGTTAGTTAGTTAGTTAGTAGTTAGTTAGTTAGTTAGTTAGTTAGTTAGTTAGTTAGTAGTTAGTTAGTTAGTTAGTAGTTAGTTAGTTAGTTAGTAGTTAGTTGTAGTTAGTTAGTTAGTTAGTTAGTTAGTTAGTTAGTTAGTTAGTTAGTTAGTAGTTAGTTAGTTAGTTAGTTAGTTAGTTAGTTAGTTAGTTAGTTAGTTAGCCAGTAGTTTATTGGTTAGTTTTTTTTTAAATAACAGATTTTTACTTTCCTTACATCTGGCACCTTCAACTTTTACCAATGCTTCTTCTTCTTCTTTAGAATAATGTGCATATAATCACGTTAACCAACACTGGTTAACAGCTGACTCACACTCTCTCTCTCTCTCAGTGAACTAAATAAACAAAAAATAACAAATTTCACTTCGTTAACAAGAAAATTACAATTTATTTTAGTTTTTAATATAATAAATAAGAAAATAATTAATTTATACATAAAAAATATTAAAAAAGTTAATTTAAATAAATAAACAACATGCTTACGGCAAAAATAGGTAAAGTGGGCAAGGTAATGATATGTGGCATGAAAGGTGTGGGCAAAACTGCTTTGTTGGAACAATTAATCTATGGAAATGTTAATATGGAGACTGTAAGTGTTTTTGAATAACAAAAAATATATAAACGTTTGATTCTTTATGGTAAAATGTTACTTTAGGAAATTCATCCTACCATCGAAGATATCTATGTGGCCAGTGTGGACACCGGCCGTGGTACTAGAGAAACTTTACGCATCTATGACTCAGCAGGTTTACAGGGTAAAGCCCAACTGCCCCGTCACTATTTATACTTTCCCGATGGTTATGTTTTGGTCTATGATCCCACCGATCCTCAAAGTTTAGACATGCTGGCGGATATCAAACAGGATATTGATAAAAACAAGGAGAAAAAGGAAGTACCCATTATAGTTTTAGCCAATATGCGTGCCAGACGTAAAGATACACCACCCTCGCCCACACAACCGCAGCCAGCACAAATCAAGCTGATCCCGTAGAACTAATACTAAATCGTGCCAATTCTTGGTGTTCCCGCGAACGTATAAAACATTATACGGTTAATGCCATGGAAAGACCTTCATTATATGAACCTTTTATCAATTTATGCTCCAGACTACATCCACCACAAACGAAATCTTCATTTCCTCAATTAAGACAAGTAATGCAAAAGACTCAGAAAATGGAGGGTTAGATTTTGTAGCAGCTGCTCCAAATGGACTATTTTCCATTGGAATGGAAAATTTTATCGTATTTGCATATTCTAATTATAACAAAGTATTATCTTCTTTTTTATACATTATTATAAAATACTCTTCCCTTTTAACTCAAGATCAAATTAAAATATTTTTAAAATACAATTTAGTTAATTGTATTAATATATTTATTTTAATTCTTAATTATTATTTTATTTAAATAGTTTTTCTTTTTATTTCAATTTACCTTGTGTTTCAATTTAAATCATAAGAGAAATGTCAAAATTAACAAAGACATGACTAAATGTTACCAGATTGTGGTTATTTGAAAAACGTTAACCGTTATTCCGAGAAAATAACATTTATTTATTTTTCACTTTAATTATTTTTAAAAATTAACTTTATTTTATTAATATTTTATAATAAATATGTTATTAAAGGGATTTTGGATAAAAATTATATAATTTTAAATACATTTAATCTTTTGTTTACTGTTAAAAATGTTATAGATAGTCAAGACTATAGACAGGATTATAGTTAAACTATAGACTGGACTATCGTCAATATTGTAGGTTAAATTATAGACTATAGTCCTGATTAAAGTCTTGGCTATAGCGAAGACTACAGTCCTTACCTAAAACTGGACAATAGCAAAGTTTTTTAAGCCGAACTATAGTTAATACAGACAAGACTATAGAGTGAGTCAGGCCTATTGTCAAGACCATAGACTATACTATATTTTTAGTCTATGTTAGTTCAAACTTTCAACATAACTTTTTAATAATTTAATGTTGTATATATAAAGTTTTGACCCCGTAATATAAAATTTAAAATTAGCAGTTTGGATACTCGGTTTGATAAATTTTGAACCACTTTCATTCCGTCTTTATATAAACTTCATATTATATGTATATAAACTTTATATTATAAAGCTTTATGTTCCAAATACAGAATTCTGAATGTCTAGCTCCTATTCTCTAAATGCTAAAAGATTCATGAAATTCGGTGTTTTATTAATGACAATTTAATAGTTTAACAAATTATCTATATATCTATCTATCTATCTACCTATATATCTTTTATCTATCTATCTATCTATCTATCTATCTATCTATCTATCTATCTATCTATCTATCTATCTATCTATCTATCTATCTATCTATCTATTTAGTATTCTGTAACTGAATAATTTAATACAAAACAAATACTTTAAAAAATTCCCTCACATGCTGTCATTTTCCCTTTTCTCTGGTAACCTTTTTGCAAATACTTCACCCCAATCTGGCAACACACCATTTAACTATACCGTTGAAATGTCAAACTTAACTAGCTGACGTGAAAAGAAATAAAAAAATTCGAAAGTGCTCACGGTAGAATTGTGTAAAGTCGTAAAATAAAATTATTTAAATTTATAAAAATCCTTCAAAATTTCATAAAATTTATTGCAAACAAAAGTAAAAAGTGTTTTCTTTACGGTAAACTAACACAAATAAAATAATTCTTAATGTTATTAACTAAAATAAGCAAGACAAAAGTGTACCAAAAAGTTAACCAGTTGAAAATCAATGAAAAAAAGTGAAAATGTTGTGGCACCTAAAAAAAGAAGAAAACTACAAAAAAATATGCAAAAATTAAAAAAAATGTGATTGAACATAAAGAATCTAGGAAATTATTGCAATTAAAGTGTTTTTGTTAAAAATATTACAAAAAATTGTGAAAGTTCTTCATTTTACGGGAATAATTTTCGTTCCTCACAAAAATTTTGATGTTGGTTTCATTTTTGAGCCTGTGTTGATTTGTTACGTTGTGAATTGCTTGCGTTAACGTTGTCGAGCCACTTTATTATAAAAAAATCCCAACTCCTGTCCCCTTACGCGTTGCATCACCCCTTGTGCTCCATCATTAGTTTGACGAAAAAAAGAAAAAAAAGTTCAACAATTTTTTTTCGTGTTTCACACTGTGGAGCACACACATTTAGAAGAAAAAGAAAAAAACACAATCAACCAGCCAGCCAGCTGTGTTGTCTTGCGTACGTATTATTGTTGTTGGGTTTTTTTGACGTTCATTACTTTTGGTATTTTTTTTTGTTCAATACCTCCCCCCTGATAATTTTTTTTTGTTCATATTCAACACTGTTTTTGCTTCTTCTTTGTATGTACAAAAACAACTATAGAGTAATTTTAATATGCTCTTTGTCTGTCGCTCTTAAAGTATTTGAAGTAAAAATGGTGATGCCCAATTGAGGAAAATGTGTTTGAGTGAGAAAATCAGCTGAAATATACAGGATCTTGAATTTTAAATAGTTCAACGACCATATTATACCCTACACCTAAGGGGCCAATATCGAGTTAAGGTCTTAAATTGGCCAAACCCACAGAGTTTATTAATATTATGAAACTTTAAGTGATTATAATAATAAAAACGCTATTTTAGTGGATTACCTTGATAGAAGTCTATAGAATTTAATAGATTAAATAATTTTTTAAATTGCTACTAATATTTAAAGGCAAAAGCGGGCCAAGGTTTTTCAATAACCTTCAATCCTGGGTATATTAAAGCAAAGACTGACTCACTGAATTTTGCTTGCCACTGGGAAGCATTACCAGGGTTCCGAAAAGCAAGTCATATAACGCTGTCAAAGGGAAAAACTCGATCCCAGACTAGATTACTGAATGGAGATTTTGGTCTCAGATACAACATCATCACTAAGGTCTCGCAGAACTAAGACTTTATTATGGTGAATCAACGGGCAGCACATAAAAAAACACAATTTGGCCGCAATATTCCCTTCTGTCTAATGTAAATGGTTTTGTATATAAGGGTCCTTATGAAGAAACGCCAGAAGTCCTGTTGGATCTTTTGGATCAGTTGGGTAGCAATCGACCTTGCTCAATGAACACTCCCACTTACCAGGACCGCTTCCAGCATTGCACTTTCTACTAGAGACCTTAAAAACTAGCTTGGAAAATAACGCAAAAGGCTTATACGTTCAAGTAAATGACTTAATATGCCTCTTGAACCATCCAGCCGCTAGATGCATAAGCAACAGGCTTATCATCTTCTGCCTTTACTAAAGGATTGTAACTGATTAGCCTATCTCAATGACTGGAAACAGTCGACTGTTCATAGACTTTTGGAGGCAGCCAGCATGGCTCATGGGATTCATTGTACTTAAGCCATCATATCGCGTAATTGCGATTCCAATGTGGCCAAAAAATTACGGCCACGTCTGACATGGTTGAGTCTTTGGAGATAGCCAGCCTGAATAGAGATTTTTCCATAAGCTTGGCTCATAGGATTTATCTTATAACTTCAGATCGCGATAAAATTACTACCTTTAGTAGAAGGATATTTATGTGGGAAGCAGATCATCATACTTGTCCTATGAATCGTCTGACATGCTTGGACCTTTGTAGGCAGCCAGCTTGGTTGAAGATGTCTACGTCAGCGTGTCTCATGGGATTAATCGTACTTACGCCTTCACATCGCGAAAATATAACTACCGTTCGTCCATAACTTAGACCAATATTGGCTGTTACTTACTGTGATCTTTCTTAAATAAGCATATAGAGGAATGTAATCACTCAAAGGCAACTCGTTAGTTATAAACTTCTTCATCCAAATCGATAATGAATGTGGATAGGTTTTATATCACATTGTCCAAAAAGAAGACATCCCAATGAAACTTTTAGTATCACTGAGTTATTTTTTAAATTAATATATAATGTATTTGTATGTATTTCGGTACCAAAGATCTAATGACTCCCTCTGATTTAAATCATCTGTACTCTATAGTCCAAACCAAGGCATCCCGGAATAGGTTGGTTGAGAGCTTGTTTAATGTATATGCTAGGAGAATGGACCTATATATTATGATTTCTTAGAGTTATTTGCCCAGTATTTTCTTTCGTCACAATATTATGAACTTACAAAAACAATCGTAAATCATTGAAATAAAACGGAACATATCGTTCCACTCGTTGTTCGAATACCTTTTTTCGATCGTTTGCTTAACTGTATGAAGTGCATAATAGAGCTTATTGATAGATTAGAAACATTGAGACAATTATATGCTTTTAGTTCTCTTTTCATCTTTGTCTGCGAGTTGGAGTAGATAAAATCTTTCAGCGGAACGGAGTTGCACATGCTCTACCGAAAACTACCGATTTTATATGGGAAATTGTTGAATAGATTATCACCTAGTCGCCATCCAATCGGACTTTCTGAACATAGCTTTAGAGCTAAATAAATAAGTTCCTCCACTTCAGCCCCATATAAAACCTCTTCAGAAAGTCAGATTTTCTACAGTAAATTGCTTGATATCGGGATTGAGGTACAATTCTACATAAACAATCTACTATAAAAAAATAAATATCATTCCATAACTTGTTTAACTTCTATAAAAACTCGTAAATTTATGGAAATTTCCTATTGATCTTGGTATCGTTTCTAATAAGTAGCACTTTTAGCGATTTTCCCTTAAACTCAGTGGCATCTTCCAAAGTTTACTCTCTTTTTTTTTCTTACACCACGATTTGTCATCATTACTTGGCTCTCTTCGCATACTTTTTATAAGAAAAAGAAGAAAGAAAAAAACCTCACAGAAATGTCAAATTTTCTATATGTAACAACAACAAAAATTACCACATCAAATTATCTTGTGAACGGCGCGGTAAATACAAGTGAATCTTAAAAAAAAAAAAATAATTTTATATATAAAAAAGTGAAGTGTGTTTTCGTTAAAAAAAAAAAACAAATTAAATTTATTAACAATAAAATAAAATAATTAATTTGAATATCTAAAGAACAACAACAAATTAAGAAAAAAAAAAAGCAAAAGTGTGGAATTTCAGGCATTAAGAAGAAAAGCATATTTTTTAAAGATTTCTATTACTTTTTTGCAAACATATGTTAAACATTTCTTTGCGTTTTCTTAAGTTTTATTAGTTGCAGATTCTTTTAGTTAAAAATAGTTTTTTATTTTTTTATTTTTAAAAAAATCCTCAGGTGTTTTAAAAATAGTTAAGGAGTATGAGTGTGTGTGAGTGTTTGTTCGTTTTTTTTTTATTATTAATGTTTTTAGCAGAAATATGATTAAACATGTTCTGTATTGTCAAATGATAGGCAGCAGCAGCACAAATAAAAACAACAATAAAACTACTAGCAACAGTAACAACAAGAACAAATATATTGAGTATATAAAAATGCATTCTATTTTAATTGACTCAATTTTGTTGAGGTTTTTCTTTGTTGTTGTTGTTTGTCGTTGTTTTTTTTTTTTAAGGTTATGCGTGGGAGTTGTCTGTGTGGGTGGTTAAAATTGTTTGGTTTGTGTTTTATTCTTTCCTTGATTTTTTTAACACAATTTATTTAATATTAAATTCTTTTAGTTATTTATTTAATAGAATTTTGTGTAAAAACTTTAAATTATTTGCTAAAAATGTTAATTTTTTGTAAGATGAGTTTAATGTATTATATTTTGTGTGTTTCTATTTAATTATTGAGATTTTATTTTAGTTGGCCATTTGAAGTTTGTTAAGGAAAGGAAACATAGTATTTGACCCATATTTGTTTTTGTTAAATTTAATTAAATTAATTGGCAGAAGTTTTTCCTTTTAGAAGTTTCTGAGTACTAAGTGCAACTATCAGGTTAAAGGAGTCTTTTTAAGAGAATTTGCAAGGGGAACTTTTAAAGGAACAGAGGCTCCATACTATATTCATAGACTAGATGTTGAATTGGAATGTCGAGAACACCATAGATTAGACATAGTTTCTGAGTATTGACTGCAACTTTCAGGGTAAAGAAGGGATTTAAAAGGAGTTGAATGAGTAACTTTTAAAGGAATAGATGTTGAATTGGAATATCGAGAATACCATAGACTAGACATAGATACTATAGATTAGACTATAGACAATACTAGAGAGTGGACTATAGACTAGAGTATAGACTAGACTATACTATAGATTAGACTAATGACTAGACTATAGATTAGAATATAGACAATTGTAGAGATTAGACTATAGACTATACTATCGATTAAACCTTAGACTAGACAATAAACTAGACTATATAGTGGACTATAGACTAGACAGTAGACTATAAACTATACTATAGACTAGACATAGAATATACCATAGACTGTACTATAGACGATACTATAAACTGTACTATAGACTGGACCATTGACTAGACTATAGTCTAGACTATATCATAGACTGTAGACTAGACCATAGATTAGTATTTGCTATAAACTAGATTATAGATTAGGCTTTTGTTTACAAAATGCAATGAAATTCCAAAACTTTTAAAAATGAACAAAAAATTGTAAAAAAATTTTAAAATTTATAAAAAAAATTTCCTAACAGCAAACAAACCAACAAAATGATTGCAAATGTAAATCAAAAAAGTTAAAAAAATCTAAAATGTGAACATAATATGTAAATATTTCTAACAATATTTTTGATGTATTCCTTAATTCCTTAAACCCCCTAAAAATGAAATCAATGATATTTTCAACACGGAATTAAGTACTCAAAACATCCTTTAATAAAAAGAAATACCACAAAATAAAAGCACTCGGCAACAATTAGCTCGAAAAAGCTAAACAACAAAATATAAGCAAAACCAAAACACATTTTTTTTTTTAAAACAAACACTTGTACTATAATTTTTCTACTCAAAAAAGGTGGTTATTGGTGGGCAATTTTTTAAAAATTGCTTACACCAAACCCTATAAACAGCCAAAAAATTCCGAAATCTTCAAATTCTGCTTCAGCGCTACAAAAGCTAAAAGCCAAAGCTACCGGTACTTCGGTGAAACGCAGTAAAAAGTCTACAAAATCAACGAAACAACAGCAACAGCAGCAACTACTACAGCAACAACAACAATCAACATTAGCATTAGCCACAGCTTCAACATCGAACTCAACAGCATTTCAACAAAGTGGTGGCTCCTTTCAAGGAGTCATCGGTGGCAGTGGTGCGGGTGTTGGCACAGAATATCTTTCACAAGGCCACAGTTATAGTTATCAACAACGCAGTGGCGCCTTTAAAAGCGACACTGGTTTTAGTGGTGGGGGTGGTGCAGGAGCAGCTGGCGGTGCTACGACCACCAGTGACGATATTGCTACAACTTTTTCTAAAACAACCTTTTCACCAAATTCAACACAAAAGTCTTCATCATCCTCATCGTCATTTCATCATTCGTCGTCATCATCATATCAGCAGCAGCAACAACAACAACAGCATCAATACCATCAGCAGCAGCAATATAATCAAATTAATAATCATAACCACAATAGTAATCCTCCTTCACATACCAATAGTGCCAACATTAACAATTTTACAAACTTCTCATCTTCCTCTCAACCAGCGATGATGATGAAACAAAAGACATCATTGGGCGAACGTATAAATATTGGCGATGAGGTGCGTGAGCTAAAATTGGGATGTACATTTAATAATAAAAATACAACGAATGCATTTCATACGATTAAATGTAAGTAGAAATATAAATGTTTTAATTTTCTCAATATTTGTTGTTAATTTTAAAATGATCTTTCCAAACCCGTCATCTTCTTTGTTAGTAGTTTTTTCTAGTTTGATTATAGACTAGACTTTATACTAGACTATAGACTAGACTAGTCTAGTCTAATCTATAGTCTAGTCTATAGTCTAGTCTATAGTCTAGTCTATAGTCTAGTGTATAGTCTAGTCTATAGTCTAGTCTATAGTTTAGTCTATAGTCTAGTCTATAGTCTAGTCTATAGTCTAGTCTATAGTCTAGTCTATAGTCTAGTCTATAGTCTAGTCTATAGTCTAGTCTATAGTCTAGTCTATAGTCTAGTCTATAGTCTAGTCTATAGTCTAGTCTATAGTCTAGTCTATAGTCTAGTCTATAGTCTAGTCTATAGTCTAGTCTATAGTCTAGTCTATAGTCTAGTCTATAGTTTAGTCTATAGTCTAGTCTATAGTCCAGTCTATAGTCTAGTCTATAGTCTAGTCTATAGTCTAGTCTATAGTCTAGTCTATAGTATAGTCTATAGTCTAGTCTATAGTCTAGTCTATAGTCTAGCCTATAGTCTAGTCTATAGTCTAGTCTATAGTCTAGTCTATAGTCTAGTCTATAGTCTAGTCTATAGTCTAGTCTATAGTCTAGTCTATAGTCTAGTCTATAGTCTAGTATAAAGTCTAGTCTATAGTCTAGTATAAAGTCTAGTCTATAGTCTATAATCAAGTCTATAGTCTATAGTATAAAGTCTAGTCTATAGTCTATAATCAATAATAGCGTGGTCTATAGTCTATTCTATATTCTAGTCTATGGTCTAGTTTATAGTCAAGTTTTTGGTCTAGTCTTCAGTCTATAATCCAGTCTATAGTCAAGCCTATAATCTAGTCCATAGTCTAGTCTTTAATCTAGTCTATAGTCTAATCTGTAGTCTAGTTTATAGTCTAGTGCATAGTATATAGTTCATTTTAGGGTTTAGTTTAGTGTAGTCTTTAGTCTAGTCTTTAGTACAGTTTATAGTCTGGACTTTAGTTTAGTTTATAATATAGTCTATTCTATTGTCAGGATTTTGGTCTAGCCTTTAATCTAGTTTATAGTCTAGTTTATAATCCAGTCTAAAGTTTAGTCTATAATCTAGTATATAGCTTAGTCTAGTCTGTAGTTTAGTCTATAGTCTTGTCAATAGTATAGTCTAGTATATAGTCTAGTCTATAATCTAAAGTCTAGTCTATATTCTAATCGACAGTCTAGTTTAAAGTCTATAGTCAATCCTATGGTCTAGTCTATAGTCAAGTCTATAGTCTAGTCTATAGTCTAGCCTATAGTCTTTTCTATAGTCTAGTCTATAGTCTATAGTTTATTCTATATTCTAGTCTAGTCTTTATCCTAGATTATAGTCTAGCCTACTCTATTGTCTAGTCTATAGGCTGTCTTCCCTATTTTCTAGTAGTCTATAGTATAGTCTATAGTCTAGCCTATAGTTTAGTCTATAGTTTAGTCTAGTCTAGTCTATAGTCTAGTCTATAGTCTAGTCTAGTCTAGTCTATAGTCTAGTCTATAGTCTAGTCTATAGTCTAGTCTATAGTCTAGTCTGTAGTCTAGTCTATAGTCTAGTCTATAGTCTAGTCTATAGTCTAGTCTATAGTCTAGTCTATAGTCTAGTCTATAGTCTTTTCTATAGTCTTTTCTATAGTCTAGTCTATAGTCTAGTCTATAGTCTAGTCTATAGTCTAGTCTATAGTCTAGTCTATAGTCTAGTCTATAGTCTAGTCTATAGTCTAGTCTATAGTCTAGTCTGTAGTCTAGTCTATAGTCTAGTCTATAGTCTAGTCTATAGCCTATAGTCTAGCCTATAGTCTAGCCTATAGTCTAGCCTATAGTCTAGCCTATAGACTAGACAAAAGTCTAGTCTATAGTCTAGTCTATAGTCTAGTCTATAGTCTAGTCTATAGTCTAGTCTATAGTCTAGTCTATAGTCTAGTCTATAGTCTAGTCTATAGTCTAGTCTATAGTCTAGTCTATAGTCTAGTCTTATAGTCCAGTCTATAGTCTAGCCTATAGTATAGCCTATAGTCTAGTCTATAGTCTAGTCTATAGTCTAGTCTATAGTCTAGTCTATAGTCTAGTCTATAGTCTAGTCTATAGTCTAGTCTATAGTCTAGTCTATAGTCTAGTCTATAGTCTAGTCTATAGTCTAGTCTATAGTCTAGTCTATAGTCTAGTCTATAGTCTAGTCTATAGTCTAGTCTATAGTCTAGTCTATAGTCTAGTCTATAGTCTAGTCTATAGTCTAGTCTATAGTCTAGTCTATAGTCTAGTCTATAGTCTAGTCTATAGTCTAGTCTATAGTCTAGTCTATAGTCTAGTCTATAGTCTAGTCTATAGTCTAGTCTATAGTCTAGTCTATAGTCTAGTCTATAGTCTAGTCTATAGTCTAGCCTATAGTCTAGTCTATAGTCTAGTCTATAGTCTAGTCTATAGTCTAGTCTATAGTCTAGTCTATAGTCTAATCTATAGTCTAATCTATAGTCTAGTCTATAGTCTAGTCTATAGTCTAGTCTATAATCTAGTCTATAGTCTAGTCTATAGTCTAGTCTATAGTCTAGTCTATAGTCTAGTCTATAGTCTAGTCTATAGTCTAGTCTATAGTCTAGTCTATAGTCTAGTGTATAGTCTAGTCTATAGTCTAGTGTATAGTCTAGCCTATAGTCTAGTGTATAGTCTAGCCTATAGTCTAGTCTATAGTCTAGCCTATAGTCTAGTCTATAGTCTAGTCTATAGTCTAGTCTATAGTATAGCCTATAGTATAGTCTATAGTCTAGTTTATAGTCTAGTCTATAGTCTAGTTTATAGTCTAGTCTATAGTCTAGTCTATAGTTTAGTATATAGTCAAGTCTGTAGTCAAGTCTATAGTCTAGTCTACAGTCTAGTCTATAGTCAAGTCTATAGTCTAGTCTATCCAGTTTATAGTTTAATCTATAGTCTAGCCTATAGTCAAGTTTACTGTATAGTCTATTCCATACTTTAGTCTATGGTCTATAGTTTAATCTATTCTAGTATATATTCCAATTTATAGTCTAGTTTTTAGTCTAGTCTGGAGTCTATGTAGTCTATAGACTAGTTTATAGTCAAGTATATAGTCTAGTTTAAAATCTAGTCTATAGTCAAATCTATAATCTAGTCTAAATTCTTGTCTATAGTTTAATTAATAGTCAAGTCTATAGCTTAGTCTATAGTCCAGTCTATAATTTAGATTATAATCTAGTAAATGTCTATTCTATAGTTTAGTCTACAGTTTAGTCCAGTCTTTAGTTTTGTCTATAATGTATTCTTTAGTCTAGGTCTAGTTTATTGTCTAGTTTTTTTCAAATGCTTATCGGGTTTATTTGCAAAATTTAAAAAGCAACTTTGAAGGAATTTATTTTTTGTCTGGCAGGAAATTAAAAACAACTTCCGTTTTATTATAAATATGTTATTTATGAAATCAGTATGTCGTATACACAGTTTTAAATTTATTTCTAACATTAATATTTTTATTCTTTTCCAGATGATTTTAAACCTGCAAGTGTGGATAAAAATCGTGTTGCTACTGTAGATGTTGGCTCAAATAATCAAGTTACTGTTACTGTGCCAAATTTAGGTAAGACCGACCAAATAAAACGTGTTTTTCTTTTTTTTTTTTGGTTTATTTTATTATTATTTTTGTTTTTCAAATGTTTCTTTTGGTTTATTATTTTTTTTGTATTTATTTTTATTTGGTTTCTTTTTTAAACATTTTTCTATGTCTAAATATGTAGATAAACATGCAAAATAGTACCTTTTAATATTTAATTTATATAATAATGTTGATTAAGCAGTCTTTTTTTTTTTAAATTGATAATTTGTTAATGAACTTGTCAATGTGCCGGAAAGTCTGAAAAATCAGCAATTTTGAAAAAAAAAGAACATAATTTATTTTCTTTTATTTTCGTTGGTGTTAAGGTTTATTTCCAAATTTTGCAATACTTTTTAATTGTGTAATTTAACATTTAGACTAAAGTATAGACTGAGTTATAGACTAGAATATATACTATATTAGACTATAGACTTTACTGTAGGACTATAAACTAGACTATAGACAAGGCTATAAACTAGACTATATGCTAGACTATAGACTAGAGTCTAGTTTATAGTATGTCTATAGTCTAGTCACTAGACTATATACTAGACTATAGACTTGACCATAAACTAGATAATGGATTATACTATAGACTATAGACTAGACTATAGACTAGACTATAGACTAGATTAGACTATAGACTAGACTATAGACTAGATTAGACTATAGACTAGACTCTAGACTAGACTATAGACTAGACTATAGACTAGACTATAGACTAGACTATAGACTAGACTATAGACTAGACTATAGACTAGACTATAGACTAGACTATAGACTAGACTATAGACTAGACTATAGACTAGACTATAGACTATACTATAGACTAGACTATAGACTAGACTATAGACTAGACAGACTAGACTATAGACTAGACTACTAGACTGTAGACTAGACTATAGACTAGACTATAGGACTAGATTAGACTATAGACTAGACTATAGACTAGACTATAGACTAGTAGACTATAGCTAGACTATAGACTAACTATAGACTAGACTATAGACTAGACTATAGACTAGGACTATAGACTAGACTATAGACTAGACTATAGACTAGACTATAGACTAGACTATAGACTAGACTATAGACTAGACTATAGACTATACTATAGACTAGACTATAGACTAGACTATAGACTAGAATATAGACTAGACTATAGACTAGACTATAGACTAGACTATAGACTAGACTATAGACTAGACTATAGACTAGACTATAGACTAGACTATAGACTAGACTATAGACTAGACTATAGACTAGACTATAGACTAGACTATAGACTAGGACTATAGACTAGACTATAGACTAACTATAGACTAGACTATAGACTAGACTATAGACTAGACTATAGACTAGACTATAGAGTAGACTATAGACTAGACTATAGACTAGACTATAGACTAGACTATAGACTAGACTATAGACTAGACTATAGACTAGACTATAGACTAGACTATAGACTAGACTATAGACTAGACTATAGACTAGACTATAGACTAGACTATAGACTAGACTATAGACTAGACTATAGACTAGACTATAGACTAGACTATAGACTAGACTATAGACTAGACTATAGACTAGACTATAGACTAGACTATAGACTAGACTATAGACTAGACTATAGACTAGACTATAGACTAGACTATAGACTAGACTATAGACTAGACTATAGACTAGACTATAGACTAGACTATAGACTAGACTATAGACTAGACTATAGACTAGACTATAGACTAGACTATAGACTAGACTATAGACTAGACTATAGACTAGACTATAGACTAGACTATAGACTAGACTATAGACTAGACTATAGACTAGACTATAGACTAGACTATACTAGACTAGACTAGACTATAGACTAGACTAGACTAGACTATAGACTAGACTAGACTATAGACTAGACTATAGACTAGACTATAGACTAGACTATAGACTAGACTAGACTAGACTAGACTATAGACTAGACTATAGACTAGACTATAGACTAGACTATAGACTAGACTATAGACTAGACTATAGACTAGACTATAGACTAGACTATAGACTAGACTATAGACTAGACTATAGACTAGACTATAGACTAGACTATAGACTAGACTATAGACTAGACTATAGACTAGACTATAGACTAGACTATAGACTAGACTATAGACTAGACTATAGACTAGACTATAGACTAGACTATAGACTAGACTATAGACTAGACTATAGACTAGACTATAGACTAGACTATAGACTAGACTATAGACTAGACTATAGACTAGACTATAGACTAGACTATAGACTAGACTATAGACTAGACTATAGACTAGACTATAGACTAGACTATAGACTACAGACCAGACTATAGACTAGACTATAGACTAGACTATAGACTAGACTATAGACTAGACTACAGACTAGACTATAGACTAGACTATAGACTAGACTATAGACTTGACTATAGACTAGACTATAGACTAGACTATAGACTAGACTATAGACTAGACTATAGACTAGACTATAGACTAGACTATAGACTAGACTATAGACTAGACTATAGACTAGACTATAGACTAGACTATAGTAGACTATAGACTAGACTATAGACTAGACTAGACTATAGACTAGACTAGACTATAGACTAGACTAGACTAGACTATAGACTAGACTAGACTATAGACTACACTAGACTATAGACTAGACTATAGACTAGACTATAGACTAGACTATAGACTAGACTATAGACTAGACTATAGACTAGACTATAGACTAGACTATAGACTAGACTATAGACTAGACTATAGACTAGACTATAGACTAGACTATAGACTAGACTATAGACTAGACTATAGTAGACTAGACGATAGATTAGACTATATAATTTAATTTATAGACTAAACTACACAATAGACTATAAACTAGTCCATGGACTAGTATAATTTAACATTTTTATATGATTTGTTGTTTGTTTATTTTGTCTTTCCGTTTTGAACATTTATTAAAAGTTTGTTTTTTATTATTTATAAAAATATATTCATGTTCATGTTTATAATTCTTTTAGTTTATTGACTTGTAATCTGTTTCTGTTTGTTACAAGCTACAAGACAAAAAAAAATGTAAACTGCTGAAAAACCTTTTTAATAAATGACACATGTTAAGAGCCTCCCACAGCCCCTTCCAACCCTGAATTGAGGTCTCCACAATGTTGCCAATATTCTAGGTTTTTTGCAACAAGAAGGTGGTTGTTAAAAAGTTCAAAGTTTTCTTTTTAGTTTCTATATTTAAACTAAAACAAAGTAATTTCCTAAGGACAGGCAGTTCACAGCAGTTCAGTTCAGTAATGTTCAGTATTTCAGCGCAGTTCAGTTCACTTAGTTTTTATTTAATCCCTGTTAAACTTGTTTTAGTTTTTTAATTGAATTTCTTTTTATTTCTTATTTATTAAACTTTAATAACAGCAAAATATATACAAAAACACAGTGTGTATGTTATTGCACGAGTTAAGTTTGTCATAATCCGTTGGCAATTCTTTTTCGGTTGGCAATTTGACCCAAAAAATTGCTTAAAATTTATTTTGTATCTATTTGTATTCATTCATGTTTGTTTGTATGTTTTCTTATCTTTTGAGTGTTGACTAGGTTGGTTTGGTTGGTATGATATTTTTTTTGTACAACAACAATTCCCTTTCACTTTTTTGTTGTTTTGTGTTGTTGGTTTTTTAATATAAAGTTTTTTTTACTTTATTTATTTAAATTCCAGTACAAATGATTATGCAAATGAATCGAAATGTATAGTTGTTATTTATATATCATTTTTTTCTCAACTCTTTTTAATTCAATAATTTTCTCTTTGTATCGTTAAATTAATTAAATAGAAATAAAAGTTATATTACAGTGCAGATTAAATTGATAGTTAACTATTAAAATTGAAAGTGAGAACGGAAGTTCCCAGCATTCCTAGACTGTAGATTAAACTGTAGTTAAAACTATAGACTACTTTAGACTACATTATAGACTAGACTATAAAATAAACTACAGATTAGACTGTAGACTATACTATAGTCTAGATTATAAACTAGACTATAGACTGGACTATATATAATAGACTGTAGACTAGCCTATAGACTGGACTTTAGACTAGACTATTGACTAGACTATAGACTAGACTATGGACTAGACTATAGACTAGACTATACACTTGACAATAGACTAGACTATACACTTGACAATAGACTAGACTATAGACTAGAATAGAGACTAAACTATAGAATAGACTATAGACTAGACTATAGACTAGACTATAGACTAGACTGTAGACTAGACTATAGACTAGACTATAGACTAGACTATAGACTAGACTATATGCTAGACTATAGACTAGACTATGGTCTAGACTATAGACTAGACTAGACTATGGACTAGACTATAGACTAGACTATAGACTAGACTATAGACTAGGCTATAGACTAGACTATATACTAGACTATAGACTAGACTATAGACTAGACTATAGACTAGACTATAGACTAGACTATAGACTAGACTATAGACTAGACTATAGACTAGACTATAGACTAGACTATAGACTAGACTATAGACTAGAATATAGACTAGACTATAGACCAGACTATAGACCAGACTATAGACTAGACTATAGACTAGACTATAGACTAGACTATAGACTAGACTATAGACTAGACTATAGACTAGACTATAGACTAGACTATAGACTAGACTATAGACTAGACTATAGACTAGACTATAGACTAGACTATAGACTAAACTATAGACTAGACTATAGACTAGACTATAGACTAGACTATAGACTAGACTATAGACTAGACTATAGACTAGACTAGACTATAGACTAGACTATAGACTAGACTATAGACTAGACTATAGACTAGACTATAGACTAGACTATAGACTAGACTATAGACTAGACTATAGACTAGACTATAGACTGGACTACAGACTATACTGTAGACTAGGCTATAGGATAGACTATAAGCTAGACTATAGACTAGACTATAGACTAGACTATACACTAGACTATAGACGAGACTATAGACGAGACTATAGACGAGACTATAGACTAGACTATAGACTAGACTATAGACTAGACTATAGACTAGACTATAGACTAGACTATAGACTAGACTATAGACTACACTATAGACTAGACTATAGACTAGACTATAGACTAGACTATAGATTAGACTATAGACTAGACTATAGACTAGACTATAGCCTAGACTATAGACTAGACTATAGACTAGACTAAAGACTAGACTATAGACGAGACTATAGACTAGAATAGACTAGACTATAGACTAGACTAGACTATAGACTAGAATAGACTAGACTAGACTAGACTAGACTATAGACTAGACTAGACTATAGACTAGACTAGACTATAGACTAGACTATAGACTAGACTATAGACTAGACTATAGACTAGACTATAGAATAGACTATAGACTAGACTATAGACTAGACTATAGACTAGACTATAGACTAGACTATAGACTAGACTATAGATTAGACTATAGACTAGACTATTGACTAGACTAGAATAGACTATAGACTAGACTATAGACTAGACTATATACTAGACTATAGACTAGACTATAGACTAGACTATAGACTAGACTATAGACTAGACTATAGACTAGATTATAGACTAGACTATAGACTAGACTATAGACTAGACTGTAGACTGGACTATAGACTGGACTATAGACTAGACTATAGACTAGACTATAGACTAGACTATAGAGTAGACTATAGATTAGACTATAGACTAGACTATAGAGTAGACTATAGACTAGACAGGACTAGAGTCTATTATATAGTCTAGTTTACAGTCTATAGTCTAGTCTATAGACTGTAAACTAGACTATATAATAGACTTTAGATTTGACTATAGTGCAGACTATAGACTAGTCCATGGAATAGAATATAGGCTAAGTTATAGGCTAGAATATAGTCTATAGACCAAAACATAGACTGTACTGTAGACTAGACTGTAGACTTGACTATAGACTTGACTATAGACTAGACTATAGAATATACTATAGACTAGTTTATAGACTAGACTACAGACTAGACTATAGATTAGTCTATACACTAGGCTAGATATTAGAATATAGTCTAGTTTATGGACTAGTCTAGACTATGTACCAGACTATAGACTAGCCTATAGACTAGATTATATACTAGACTATAGACTAGACTATATACTAGACTATAGACTAGACTATAGACTGACTATAGTATGGTATTACTTGAGGATCATTTTGACTGTGATGATCCAAATCTTTCGACCCTATTATTTTTAGCTTTGGTGTTTAACTAGACCATGTGTAATGAATATTAATTAAAAAGCTCAGAATAAATTCGATAAAAATATTATAAATTACGAAAAAAAAAACAAAAAATCAGCCAAGCGTTAAAATTTGCAAAAAAAAGACTACAATTTCTTATTTTCTTATTTATTTATAAAAAAACTTGATATTTTTTAGTACACAATAAATAAGATTTAATTAACAGACTTTTTGGTTATTTTTATATATAAAAAAACAACAATCTTATCAAACACTATTAAAAATGATATTTTTTCATTAAACTTTTTGTCTGATGGCATTTTGTCTACATACAAACAGAAAAAAAATGCAATTTCAATTTCATAACACAAAGTTCGAGGCTGATAAGAAGTTTCTTTTATTATTCTATATAAATAATATATAATTTTTTTACTTAATAAGTGGCTTGTGCTGACGGTATTGGCCCCCAATCGTTTGCTTTTTTTCTAAAGTAGTGTATTGCTCTTATCATATTGTTGTTTTGCTTTGAAAGTTTGTTTCAAAGGCAATAATAGCATTTATGACAGGTGATATTTCTTTAGTTTTGCAAATACAAACAAATGATTTAAGCTAAATTAACACGTAGTTAAATAACTATTTAAAATATGTAGCTTTATAAAGAAATTCTTGAAAATATTATAACTTTTGAAGATTTGTATTAACTTTAATATAATTCTCTTGTAATATTTCTAGTTAGTTCCGGTGTGCCTCATACCATTTATAAAGGAAATCAAAAGAAATACACAAAAGAATGTATACTCATATTCGACAAAAGGACTGGTGATATTACATTAGAGAAATTAAATCACAATATACAAGTAAAGAAGACGCGGTAAGTCGTTTTTTTTTTTCTTAAGTAAGCTTTACTTTAATCCAATATTAATTTTGTTTGTTTTTGTTTCTTTTTAACAGTGAAATGACAAACAAACCTAGTGTACCTACACCTGTAGCAATGCCGCCGGTAGCAGCATCCTCAAATGCATTAGCGCCCTCAGCAGCTGTCTCAACAGGACCAGCACCAAAATTAGAAAACAGTACAATGAGAATAACTTCCAAAACAAAAGTTTCCACTGGCAATAGAAGGAATACGATAAGTAAGTTTACAGGCTAGACTATAGATTAGACTACAGTGAATAAACAACTCTACAGTGTAGTCTATAGTTTAGTTTATAGTCTAGTATATAGCTTAGTCTATAGTCCAGTTTATAGACTAGTTTATAGTCTAGTTTATAGTCTAGTTTATAGTCGTGTCTATAGTCTAGTCTAGTTTATAATCATGTCTATAGTCTGGTGTATAGTCTAGTTTATAGTCTAGTCCATTGTCTAGTCTAATCTATAGTCTGGTCTATAGTGCTGTCTATAGTCTAGTCTATCGCCTAGTCTATAGTCTAGTCTATCGCCTAGTCTACAGTCTAGTCTATAGTCTAGTCTACAGCCTAGTCTATAGTCTAGTCTATAGTCTAGCCTATAGTCTAGTCTATAGTCTAGTCTATAGTCTAGTCTATAGTCTAGTCTATAGTCTAGTCTATAGTCTAGTCTATAGTCTAGTCAATAGTCTAGTCTATAGTCTAGTCTACAGTCTAGTCATAGTCTAGTCTATAGTCTAGTCTACAGTCTAGTCTATAGTCTAGTCTATAGTTTAGTCTATAATCTAGTCTATAGTCTAGTCTATAGTGTAGTCTATAGTCTAGTCTATAGTCTAGTCTATAGTCTAGTCTATTGTCTAGTCTATAGTCTAGTCTATAGTTAGTCTATAGTTTAGTCTATAGTTTAGTCTATAGTCTAGTCTATAGTCTAGTCCTATAGTCTAGTCAATAGTCTAGTCTATAGTCTAGTCTATAGTCCTAGTCTATAGTCTAGTCTATAGTCTAGTCTATAGTCTAGTCTATAGTCTAGTCTATAGTCTAGTCTATAGTCTAGTCTATAGTCTAGTCTATAGTCTAGTCTATAGTCTAGTCTATAGTCTAGTCTATAGTCTATAGTCTAGTCTATAGTCTAGTCTATAGTCTAGTCTATAGTCTAGTCTAGTCTAGTCTATAGTCTAGTCTATAGTCTAGTCTATAGTCTAGTCTATAGTCTAGTCTATAGTCTAGTCTATAGTCTAGTCTATAGACTAGTCTATAGTCTGTAGTCTAGTCTATGGCCTATATTATAGTCTAGTCTATAGTCTATAGACTACATTATACTAGTATATAGCCTAGTATATAGCCTACTCTGTAATCTCGTCTACATTCTAGTCTGTAAACTATTGCAAATTTCAGTGTATTTCTTTTCTCGCCTTAATCTGTTCCTTGTATTTTCTAGTTGAATTAAAAGCTCGCAACTCTCCCATGCAAGGTTCGCCTTCAGCGGGTGTGGGTCATCACAACAATAAGAGTCCTCAGTCGGCTCCAGCGTAAGTTTATTTTATATATCTAAAACAAACAACAAAAACTTATTTCTCTAACCTCTTCCAGATGGAATGCTAACAATGGCCAGGCCACATTACCTAGTATACCCATGATTGTTGACGATGATGATTCAATATTTGGTATTGGCGGTGGTGGTAGTGGTGGAGGTGCTGGTGCTGGCGGCGGTGGTGGTGGCGGTCTTGCAAATATATCTGCTTCATCTTCCTCCTCAACATCCAGTCATCATAATAATTCAGGACATGAATATGATTTACCACAATTACAACAATATTCAACAGCACCACCAACGAAACAATCAAAACAATCACATCACAACAATAGTAGTAATCAAAAGCGACACAACAATCATCAACGGCATCAGCAGCAGCAGCAGCAACAGCAACCTTCATCCTTACAAACGCAACAACAACAGGTGCAACAGTGGCAACAGCAATTGCAACAGCAGCAGCAACAACAACAGCAGCAGCAACAGCAACAACAAAATCAATATAATCGTTATAACACTAATGGCAATTCCTCGACTTCCTCATCGTTATATAGTAGTAATCATAATAATAATCATCATAGCAATAATAATATACGTAATAGCAATCATCATAGTAACAGCAACAACCACAGCAACAATAATTATCATAATGATCTTGCCTCATCGCCAACACTGGCCAGTGAAGCAGCAGCTCTTGAACAGGTAAACTATATAATAAATCTTAGTTAGATAAGACTATAACAGAATCCATAGACGAAACTATGAACTGAACTATAGATTACAATACTAGACTATAGACTAGACTATAGACTAGACTATAGACTAGACTATAGACTAGACTATAGACTAGACTATAGACTAGACTATAGACTAGACTATAGACTAGACTATAGACTAGACTATAGACTAGACTATAGACTAGACTATAGACTAGACTATAGACTAGACTATAGACTAGACTATAGACTAGACTATAGACTAGACTATAGACTATAGACTAGACTATAGACTAGACTATAGACTAGACTATAGACTAGACTATATAGACTAGACTATAGACTAGATTATAGAATAGACTCGACTATAGACAGCACTATAGACTAGACTATAAACTAGACTATAGACTAGACTATAGACTAGACTATAGACAAGACTAGCGCTATAGACTAGACTATAGACTAGACTAGCGCTATAGACTAGCACTATGGACTAGACTATAGACTAGACTATAGACTAGACTATAGACTAGACTATAGACTAGACTATAGACTAGACTATAGACTAGACTATAGACTAGACTACAGACTAGACTATAGACTAGACGATAGACTAGACTATAGACTAGACTATAGACTAGACGATAGACTAGACTATAGACTAGACTATAGACTAGACTATAGACTAGACTATAGACTAGACTATAGACTAGACTATAGACTAGACTATTGACTAGACTATAGACTAGACTATAAGACTAGACTATAAGACTCTATAGTCTAGTCTACTATAGACTAGACTATAGACTAGACTATAGACTATATACTAGACTAGATTATGGACTAGACTATAGACTAGACTATAGACTAGACTATAGACTAGACTATAGACTAGACTAGACTATAGACTAGACTAGACTATAGACTAGACTAGACTATAGACTAGACTATAGACTATAGACTAGACTATAGACTAGATGATAGACTAGACTTTAAACTAGACGATAGATTAGACGATAGACTAGACTATAGACTAGACTAGACTATAGACTAGACTAGCGCTATAGACTAGCACTATAGACTAGACTATAGACTAGACTATAGACTAGACTATAGACTAGACTATAGACTAGACTATAGACTAGACTATAGACTAGACTATAGACTAGACTATAGACTAGACTATAGACTAGAATATAGACTAGACTATAGACTAGACTATAGACTAGACTATAGACTAGACTATAGACTAGACTATTGACTAGACTATAGACTAGACTATAGACTAGACTATAGACTAGACTAGACTAGACTATAGACTAGACTATAGACTAGACTATAGACTAGACTATAGACTAGACTATAGACTAGACTATAGACTAGACTATAGACTAGACTATAGACTAGACTATAGACTAGACTATAGACTAGACTATAGACTAGACTATAGACTAGACCATAGACTAGACTATAGACTAGACTATAGGCTAGACTATAGACTAGACTATAGACTAGACTATAGACTAGACTATAGACAAGACTATAGACTAGACTATAGACTAGACTATAGACTAGACTATAGACTAGACTATAGACTAGACTATAGACTAGACTATAGACTAGACTATAGACTAGACTATAGACTAGACTATAGACTAGACTATAGACTAGACTATAGACTAGACTATAGACTAGACTATAGACTAGACTATAGACTAGACTATAGACTAGACTATAGACTAGACTATAGACTAGACTATAGACTAGACTATAGACTAGACTATAGACTAGACTATAGACTAGACTATAGACTAGACTATAGACTAGACTATAGACTAGACTATAGACTAGACTATAGACTAGACTATAGACTAGACTATAGACTAGACTATAGACTAGACTATTAGACTAGACTATAGACTAGACTATAGACTAGACTATAGACTAGACTATAGACTAGACTATAGACTAGACTATAGACTAGACTACAGACTAGGCTATAGACTAGACTAAAGACTAGACTATAGACTAGACTATAGACTAGACTATAGACTAGACTATAGACTAGACTATAGACTAGACTATAGACTAGACTATAGACTAGACTATAGACTAGACTATAGACTAGACTATAGACTAGACTATAGACTAGACTATAGACTAGACTATAGACTAGACTATAGACTAGACTATAGACTAGACTATAGACTAGACTATAGACTAGACTATAGACTAGACTATAGACTAGACTATAGACTAGACTATAGACTAGACTATAGACAAGACTATTATAGACTAGACTATAGACTAGACTATAGACTAGACTATAGACTAGACTATAGACTAGACTATAGACTAGACTACAGACTAGGCTATAGACTAGACTAAAGACTAGACTATAGACTAGACTATAGACTAGACTATAGACTAGACTATAGACTAGACTATAGACTAGACTATAGACTAGACTATATAGACTAGACTATAGACTAGATTATAGAATAGACTCGACTATAGACAGCACTATAGACTAGACTATAAACTAGACTATAGACTAGACTATAGACAAGACTAGCGCTATAGACAAGACTAGCGCTATAGACAAGACTAGCGCTATAGACTAGACTACAGACTAGACTAGCGCTATAGACTAGACTATAGACTAGACTATAGACTAGACTATAGACTAGACTATAGACTAGACTATAGACTAGACTATAGACTAGACTATAGACTAGACTATAGACTAGACTATAGACTAGACTATAGACTAGACTATAGACTAGACTATAGACTAGACTATAGACTAGACTACAGACTAGACTATAGACTAGACTATAGACTTGACGATAGACTAGACTATAGACTAGACTATAGACTAGACGATAGACTAGACTATAGACTAGACTATAGACTAGACTATAGACTAGACTATAGACTAGAATATAGACTAGACTATAGACTAGACTATAGACTAGACTATAGACTAGACTATAAACTAGACTATAGACTAGACTATTGACTAGACTATAGACTAGACTATAAGACTAGACTATAAGACTAGACTATAGACTAGACTATAGACTAGACTATAGACTAGACTATAGACTAGACTATAGACTAGACTATAGACTAGACTATAGACTAGACTATAGACTAGACTATAGACTAGACTATAGACTAGACTATAGACTAGACTATAGACTAGACTATAGACTAGACTATAGACTAGACTATAGACTATATACTAGACTATATACTAGACTATAGACTAGACTAGATTATGGACTAGACTATAGACTAGACTATAGACTAGACTATAGACTAGACTATAGACTAGACTAGACTATAGACTAGACTATAGACTAGGCTATAGACTAGACTATAGACTAGACTATAGACTAGATGATAGACTAGACTTTAAACTAGACGATAGATTAGACGATAGACTAGACTATAGACTAGACTACAGACTAGACTATAGACTAGACTATAGACTAGACTATAGACTAGACTATAGACTAGACTATAGACTAGACTATAGACTAGACTATAGACTATACTATAGACGAGACTATAGACTAGACTATAGACTAGACTATAAACTCGACTATAGACTAGACTATAGACTAGACTAGACTATAGACTAGACTAGACTATAGACTAGACTATAGACGAGACTATAGACTAGACTATAGACTAGACTATAGACTAGACTATAGACTAGACTATAGACTAGACTATAGACTAACTATAGACTAGACTATAGACTAGACTATAGACTAGACTATAGACTAGACTATAGACTAGACTAGTAGACTAGACTATAGACTAGACTATAGACTAGACTATAGACTAGACTATAGACTAGACTATAGACTAGACTATAGACTAGACTATAGACTAGACTATAGACTAGACTATAGACTGGACTATAGACTAGACTATAGACCAGACTATAGACTAGACTATAGACTAGACTATAGACTAGACTATAGACTAGACTATAGACTACACTATAGACTACACTATAGACTACACTATAGACTACACTATAGACTACACTATAGACTAGACTATGGACTACACTATAGACTAGACTATAGACTAGACTATAGACTAGACTATAGACTAGACTATAGACTAGACTATAGACTAGACTATAGACTAGACTATAGACTAGACTATAGGACTAGACTATAGACTAGACTATATAGACTAGACTATAGACTAGATTATAGAATAGACTCGACTATAGACAGCACTATAGACTAGACTATAAACTAGACTATAGACTAGACTATAGACTAGACTATTGACAAGACTAGCGCTATAGACTAGACTAGCGCTATAGACTAGCACTATAGACTAGACTATAGACTAGACTATAGACTAGACTATAGACTAGACTATAGACTAGACGATAGACTAGACTATAGACTAGACTATAGACTAGACGATAGACTAGACTATAGACTAGACTATAGACTAGACTATAGACTAGAATATAGACTAGACTATAGACTAGACTATAGACTAGACTATAGACTAGACTATAGACTAGACTATAGACTAGACTATAGACTAGACTATAGACTAGACTATTGACTAGACTATAGACTAGACTATAAGACTAGACTATAAGACTAGACTATAAGACTAGACTATAAGACTAGACTATAGACTAGACTATAGACTAGACTATAGACTAGACTATAGACTAGACTATAGACTATATACTAGACTATATACTAGACTATAGACTAGACTATATACTAGACTATAGACTAGACTATAGACTAGACTATAGACTAGACTATAGACTAGACTAGACTAGACTACTAGACTAGACTATAGACTAGACTATAGACTAGACTATAGGCTAGACTATAGAGTAAACTATAGACTCGACTATAGACTAGACTGTAGACTAGACTATAGACTAGACTATTGACTAGACTATAGACTAGACTATTGACTAGACTA